TCTCTCTCATAAGCACGATCATATATGCTTGTATTAGCGTGCTTATGGGAATCTCTCTCATAACCACCCATATATGTTTGTATTAGCGTGCTTATGAGAATCTCTCTCATAAGCACGATCATATATGCTTGTATTAGCGTGCTTATGGGAATCTCTCTCATAAGCACGCTCATATATGTTTGTATTAGCGTGCTTATGAGAATCTCTCTCATAAGCACGCTCATATATGCTTGTATTAGCGTGTTTATGAGAATCTCTCTCATAAGCACGCTCATATATGCTTGTATTAGCGTGCTTATGAGAATCTCTCTCATAAGCACGCTCATATATGCTTGTATTAGCGTGTTTATGAGAATCTCTCTCATAAGCACGATCATATATGCTTGTATTAGCGTGCTTATGGGAATCTCTCTCATAAGCACGCTCATATATGTTTGTATTAGCGTGCTTATGAGAATCTCTCTCATAAGCACGCTCATATATGCTTGTATTAGCGTGTTTATGAGAATCTCTCTCATAAGCACGCTCATATATGCTTGTATTAGCGTGCTTATGAGAATCTCTCTCATAAGCACGCTCATATATGCTTGTATTAGCGTGTTTATGAGAATCTCTCTCATAAGCACGATCATATATGCTTGTATTAGCGTGCTTATGGGAATCTCTCTCATAAGCACGCTCATATATGTTTGTATTAGCGTGCTTATGAGAATCTCTCTCATAAGCACGCTCATATATGCTTGTATTAGCGTGTTTATGAGAATCTCTCTCATAAGCACGCTCATATATGCTTGTATTAGCGTGCTTATGAGAATCTCTCTCATAAGCACGCTCATATATGCTTGTATTAGCGTGTTTATGAGAATCTCTCTCATAAGCACGATCATATATGCTTGTATTAGCGTGCTTATGGGAATCTCTCTCATAAGCACGCTCATATATGTTTGTATTAGCGTGCTTATGGGAATCTCTCTCATAAGCACGCTCATATATGTTTGTATTAGCGTGCTTATGGGAATCTCTCTCATAAGCACGCTCATATATGTTTGTATTAGCGTGCTTATGGGAATCTCTCTCATAAGCACGCTCATATATGCTTGTATTAGCGTGCTTATGAGAATCCCTCTCATAAGCACGGTGGCATACTTCCCCGGAAAATTTTTAAAATTTGGGTCTCTGAAATGGCATTTCCAGCATTCTGAGAAAACATTCTGGAAAATTTTTAGATTCTCAAAACATTTAAAAATTCAGAATATTTAATATTGGCTATTCCGCTATTGTCAACTGGTGATACGCAACTGAATTCCTTAACATAAGTTGGTTAGAATTAGGATAAACGTCATTTTTGTACCCCCCTCCCCCATGCACCCCTGTTGACCAGAGACTGGGGGAGGGGGATGCGCAACCCCCACCCCACCCCACCCCCCGCAACCCCCCCTAAATCCACCACTGGCTCATAAGCACGCCAATATGAGGCTCATGAGATACCAAAATATGGCCGTATGCTCATTTTTTTACGCCTACCTAATAGCTTGTGCGGAGAATTCCTGCAGCTGCATGAGATATTCAAAAATGATAGAAAATTCGTGCACAGGTTCTACATCATGTAAATTCTATAAAACTATGCGTGGCTATAAAGTAGGCGGAAATTAAATTCCGGAAGAACCATTTTTCATAATATGTTAGTAACCTATTTATTTTTGTAATATATATAGAAACTTTGTCTGCCTTGTATTAGATCCATTTCAGTTCTATTTATTGACAAACTATTAATTAGTAGTGATTTATATATGTTCGTTTGTTACTAATAAATCTAATACATTTAACATTTTGACTTGAAATTGTTGAATGCATCAGCCAGTTCGCCAAAGTGATTTTTTATTATACACAATAATATATGTTTTATTTTATTTTTGGAAAGGTATGACCATCACTTTTCTGTTTCGTCGCTGTCTGGGAAAACTAAAAGTAGAATAAAAGTAATTTAGTTAGGCGAAATTTTTGTGCTATATATCGTTTAAGTTTAGGTGTTTCAAGTATTGTGTTTTTATTTGTAATTCGTAACCCCCCGTCAAATTTTTAAGTGGATCCTGTTTTATTCGAACCATATTCCTAAAAAAATGGTCAAAAAATTTTTCGGACTATGACGAGTAAAAAAGTCACAAAAATTTTCACTATCCATGTCTAGTAAAAGAAAGGGGTTCACATTTCACAATTTCTCCAATTCTCAGCTGCTTTTGGGGACCACCCGTTGCAAATTTTCTGGCCTTCTATAACTGAGACTCGGGTCAATTTGCCCAATGTACTAGCCCTGGGATCGAGGCCAGAAAATGTTATAATCATTTTTGCCGGAGACAGCCCTTGTCCTTCGCGGATAGTGATGTTTTCAAGCTTTCTGAATTGTCTGTTAACTAGTATATAACCCAAAATTCAAGTTGCTTTTATTAATTGTGCGATGCATGTTCGTGTTTTATAGCTTTTCAAACAATTTACAACGGTTGAAAAAATCCGTCTTTCGTACAACCAACCCCTGGTCAAGTCTGATTCCACACGTTGGGCTTTATTTTTACCTGGTACAGGTGGCGTATGCATACAAATGCCTCTCACGCAAGTAACTTGGAAACCAAATCGAAAACATTCTGAATCATGCACACATTTCGACTGTGACAGGAATCTCTTCTTTGTTGATGGCGCTATTAATAAATAAAGTATCGTCAATTTTGTCTACATTGATGAAGAAAGTGCGGCATACAGGCCCCCCCCCCCTTTCTTCAGGACTAACTTTGTAATTTTTCCAAATCTGGGGAGTATTGTCTATTGTGACGAAAGGGTCATGTTTCAGTGCTGACTGGCTTGAACCTAATTGTTAGACAAAAATACAAACAATGCTACTATGTTTGTCCAATTTTTGTTTGTCCACCTTCGGAAAACATATGGCTAGGAAACCATGGTTCCTGGTTTGTCCACCTTTGGCAAACATGGCTAGGAAACAATGTTTCCTGTTTTGCCCACCTTCGGAAAACATGACTAGGAAACAATGTTTCTTGGTTTGTCCACATTTGAAACAATGTTTCCTGTTTTGCCCACCTTCGGAAAACATGACTAGGAAACAATGTTTCTTGGTTTGTCCACATTTAGAAAACATGGTTAGGAAACAATGCTTCCTGGTTTGCCCACCTTCTGGAAACATGGCTAGGAAACAATGCTTCCTGATTTGTCCACCTTCGGAAACATGGCTAGGAAACAATGTTTTCTGATTTGCCCACCTTCAGGAAACATGACTAGGAAACAATGTTTTCTGATTTGCCCACCTTCGGGAAACATGACTAGGAAACAATGTTTCCTTGTTTGTCCACATTTGGGAAACATGGCTAGGAAACAATAATGCTTCCTGGTTTGTCCATCTTCGGGAAACATGGCTGGGAAACAATGTTTCCTGGTTCGTCCGCCTTCGGAAACATGGCTAGGAAACAATGCTTCCAGATTTGTCCACCTTCGGAAACATTGCTAGGAAACAATGTTTTCTGGTTTGCCCATGCAAGAGGCCAAGATGGTTAGCAAGCAATGTTCCCAGATTTAATATCTTACCATCCTGAACAACACAGTTTCCACGTTTCCAGATTTGTCCACCTTCGGAAACATTGCTAGGAAACAATGTTTTCTGGTTTGCCCATGCAAGAGGCCAAGATGGTTAGCAAGCAATGTTCCCAGATTTAATATCTTACCATCCTGAACAACACAGTTTCCACGTCCAGTCGATGCCGTTATCAGACACGTGTCAAATATTCCCAACGCTTGGCAGTCTGAATTCGTCGTACAGTCTACTCCTGGGAAAAAACTGCGCTTGTCATCCTCTGAAAATAAACGTTAACAATGAAATCAAGACCAGTGATTACAGATGGCACCAGGTCCCAATCTTTTCATGTGAGAAAGCGCTGAATATTAAAAATAAGAATAAAAATAAAAATAGAAGACCTAGGTCTAGGCTGCAGATGGCAAAATAAACCAAAGTTGCTGTTTCTTTAGTCACTCTAGCTCCAATGATCTTGGATTAGAGGCGCACCCACGGGTAGTGGGTAGGAATGAAAAACCAAAAAAACTCATTAATAATTCAGGAGGAAAACACAAAGAAAAATCATAAGCGTGTCGTGGTTTTATATATGATAAAACACTCTTACTCGTACTTTTAATAGTACTTAAAGTCTGTTTCTCTCTTTCTGATCTCGTGGTTTTTACTTCTGGGTAATCCATGATCGCTAGACATGAAATTAATTCGTTTGAATTAAATTCGTCGTTTGAAACGAAACCACTTTAGTGTCGAACAATTGACGAATTTAATAACGAATTAAATTCGTCTGAATTAATTAACGTATGGAACATGCCTCACAATATTATATAAGTACCTTCATATGTATTTTTCCGTAAATACAATCCATTTATGACAGTCAGTAGAAAAGCCAAAAGGATAACACTTATCTTCCACATCTTCGGTTTTAAATAAAGCACGATTTTTCTCCTTAAAATATAACATACTATCCTTAATTTTTTCACGTTCTATTATTAGAAAATAAATTTAACGATGGAGTGGGCTTTTGAGTCTTGGACGTGCACGTGTCCTCTATAATAAACCGTCCTTCCCCGTTGCTACAGACAGCAGCTGTCTTATTTAATTCTAATTTAGAAAACAGCGTGCTTAGAGAGTGCGTGGGACATGCCATGTCTTTATTTAGAAAGTAGGCTCATTTAAAATTGGGGCGTTTAATTAGGAAACGCATTTTATTGGAGGAAGTTATGAATGTTTAATTAAAAGTGTAACAGTTAGAAATGAAGTCTGTTTTAGTCTTGTTGCAGTTCATAAAAAGGACGTGGGTTTTATTGTCTTTAAATGTTCTTTTCGTAATTGCCGACGACAACTGATTATATACAGGCAATAAGAAGAGGAGTATTATACAGAGAACTAGCATATTTTTGCCCAAAGGAAAGCCTATATTATCGGTGCCAATTGAATATAGATCAAGACAAAAAAAAAATGAAAAAAAAGTGTTCTGATATTGTTTAAATTCATAAAAGAATTAACTATATCTTAATCATGTTTCTGCATCCATGAGGAAGATCAAATTTTGACATTTTTAATTAGCTTGTATAGTTGCCTCAATCTTTGCTTGGAAAAAATCGGACTCTTTTCATCAATCTTAAAAGATGGAAATTTTTATTGTTTAAATTAACCGAGGGAGAAAGGTTTCTTAATTCCCTTTGAACTCCTAGTTTTAAACTATACGCGCTACAGCTGATCGATAAGTAAATGGAAATGAAATAACGTTTCTTTTTCACATTCCTTTCAGGAAAACGTGATCAAAGAATTCCAAAGTTGAAGGCAGCACTATACCAAGGAGGAAGCCTAGCATGATCAAAAAATATTCAAAGTTGTTTACAACAAAGCTAAAGGTAGGCAGTGAATGAAGAACTTTATTAACTAAATTATTGATTCAATCCTCATTGTTTACATGAACAGCACATAAAAACAGATCGAACCACGAAACGCTTGGTTTAATTAATCATAGCGGTATCTTCATTCAGTTATATAAATATATAGCCTTAGGCAGTAATCTTCGGCGCGCGTTATAAATTATATTTTACCAAAAAGCAACTTTGAAGTAAAATTTGCACGTAAAGTAAGATTTAAGAACATTATGTATTTTTTCACTATATGATCAAACTTCCTTTTAGCAACGGGAAACTTTGAAAAGTGTTCTGAAACCTGTCTAAATGGAGAAACGAAGGGCCTTGCTCGAAACGTCGAAATTCTCCTTATATTTTTCAGATAGTTGCATTCCTACCAACGAAAGCTTGTTCATATTATTGCCACTACCTACACTGGCACAGATAATTTAAAAAATAAATAAAAAAGCACTGTCTAAACACTACCAGAAAAGATTATTGCGTCATATTGCGTAATCGGCGCAGAAAAGTGCCGTAAATAATAAGTCACTATGATGTTATAACACTGTGAAACATTTTCATGATCAAAGAAACTTCCATTGCTTACCTCAAACCTTCCTACTTCACAATCACCCTTTCTTCTCAAACGTTCAAAACGTGTTCGAGTGTTAACATGGAGTGTTCCAACAAGTCCGATGCTTTTTATACGTCGTCAAAAGAGGCAATCTAATTGCAAATTTGAATTGCGCACAGCATGACTTGAGCGTGTGTTGTAATTAATCAACATGGCGTCTTTTGCTAACGGCCAACGCTTTTCGACGGTTTTGAAAAGATTTAAAATTACAGTGTCGCAAACTTGTTAATTGCGCATTCGAAAATTTAGAGATAAGTAACAAAGAATGTATAAGAGAGTAAAATTTTCATTAAATCCTCCGAGATTTACATTTTCGATTAATTTTGATTACGCATTTTGAATTAACATTTTAATATCCAAATAATTTCTATTTTAATCATATTTTTGTGCGCTTACCCGCATGCAGATAGTTAAAAAACGTTGTCAGTTAAGGACTCGAGGTTTATCAGAGATTGTTTAATATGCATCAAAATGAGCGCTTTACTTTTTCAGAACCATCCTCAGAGATATGAAAAACTACGGTTTCACATCATACTTTTTGTGCGTGTTGGTATTATGTACTTAGAATACATTGATATCGAATTCGAAGGAACTAGACTCGGTTCCGAAATATTACCAATTCGAACCAGCTTGACCTCGTAGCTCAGTTGACAGAGCATTGGATTCGCGGATCATTAGTATCCCAAAGGTCACGGGTTCGATTCCCACTGTGGTCAAGCAAACTTTTCATCTTGCCTGGTGTGGTTGCACATCACAAACATCATAGTAAAATCACAAACATCATAGTTTCATATAATTCTGACACTACAGAGAACAACGAAGGATTTGTTTTCTCGAGCGGGATTTGAACTTAGTGAAAGATTACCTGTAATTACACCTGTTGATGGCCGTCTTGGCTTGGGCGTTTTTCCGAAATTTTCCCACAACATTCCGCAGAGAGGGAACTATTATTGATAGTTATGCCCTAGGCTTTCCTGAAGGCCAGGAGAAGACTGTAATTGAGAAAATAACTGTGGAATATATATGGGAAAACTGTTTAAAGATTGTGAGAAAAGCTCTTTGTTTCTTACTTTCTCGTCCAAGCCATGCAGGCTGTCTAGATTAAGGTCGGAATCATCAAAGAATCTTCCACAGACCACAGTCACCACACGGATCCGTTTAATTCATTGTGCAACGGTCATGTTTCACGGAAATGAATATATCTGTCAGGTTTCTAGAAAACATCACATATGTTTATGTTATTTTAAGCTTATTATTGTGTTTTCTACAAACCAAAAGGATATCATTGTTTTTCGCGACCGCAAACATTCACAAGGAACTTATTATTCTAATTGATTATTCTCTACAACAAGGCTGCTGCCTTAAGAGTTAAGGGTCATTGCCAATGTCATTTTAAAAATGATCTTCAAATTGAGCCCGTATCGATCGGTCGCCTTGTTTCGGCCATTTAAAATTATTTCAAAAGCTCATTAATAATTCACGAGAAAAACACAAAGAAAAATCACAAGCGTGTTGTATCTTCATATGTGATAGAGATTTCCCTTGATTTACATAAACTTTAACTTTGATTTTCGGGACTTACACATGACGTTTTTGAAAACTACTTTGCTAATGAACTTACTAGATTGATCGTATTTGAAGCAATTTAAAACATTCGCAGTGTGTGTTTTATCAGTCGTAAAGTCTAAACGATAGTCGGTTTCGCCTCGTATCTTTATATCTGATAAAACACTGCTGCTCATCAGTTTTAAATAGTACTTAAAATTCATTTTACCCGGTAGCTTATCAACCCAAATAATTAAAATACATGGTTGCTTCATACAAGGCCGTGTAGAAATTTAAGAATAACAGACGAACACAATTAACAAAACTATAGCAAATATCGTGCATAACTAGTGGACATTATTACATACATAAAAAACTTATATACTCCAAGTGACACTGAACTTTATAATTGAAAAAGGTGTTTTAGCAGTTACTGCAACTTGAAAATGTATTCAGAAATGCGGAGTTATTTTCACGAATGAAATCACATACAAGTCAAATTTTATATTAATAAAATCAGATAAATTTGCATTATTAATAACACATATAACATCGGTCGCGTAGGCATACAAGCTGATAAGCCACAACCTAAAATTAATTTTTGTCTGGGAGCGAAATCAGTATAAGCGGTTCGAAATGGTTAATTTTTGCATCCCAAAAGAAGTGACAAAGGTTCCCATTAAAAATGTTTAAATATCTCAGCTTGATGTCTGAACACCTGCATGTCAGCTACAGTTACTGCTCTCAACAGAGGTGTCAGAGGCTTTAGCATATTCCGTATGATAAAAAGGGGCATGGCTAGAGTGTTGTGTGTCGTCTGGCATTTGGGAAATTATTGAATCCCAGTTGGGAAATTGTTTTCGTAATCGGCAAAACTAGAATTGGATAGGAAGGAAAAAAACTAAAATATATGAGTTACACTGATTAAAAACTAATGTTGGAAAATTTACGTGCAATCGTATTTCCTCTATTTATCCCCCTGAGTCTGACGTAGTCTCGAGAGAACTGGCGAAGTGAAGTAGAAACTGGAAGCCCCCCTCCCCAAATGTTTTCTTTGGTCGGGCAGATTGTACTTACAAAACTGGCCGATTGTCCTTAAACCTCGTACCCAGGGCTTCTGCGCTTATTGCTCTCTCTTCTGAGAGCAATAAGCGCAGAAGCCCTGGGTACGAGGTTGATTGTACTTAAAAATTATGCAATTCTTAAAAATCGACTACTAGTAAATGATTAAAGGGAATCAAAAGCGTCGGCGAAATAGGAATAAATATACTGTACCCCTGGGAGTTTTTTCCAGCGGCTAAATAGAGATAATATATATTTTGTGAGTGTGTGTTTTGATGTTATGTCATCAGGTGAATATTATATCATGATCATAAAATCATAATCATATCACACATTGATATCAAAGGAACTAGCTCATTTCCGAAATACGACACACTCGAACCGTCTTGACCTCGTAGCACCGTTGACAGAGTATTGGACTAGTATCCCAAAGGTCAAGGGTTCCATTCCCACCGCGGTCAGACAAACATTTCGGCCTGCCCGGTGTTGACACACTCCGAGTAACATCAGAAACATTAAATAGAGATAAGCTTTCGCGTTCAAACGAGAAGCGTTGGGCAAACAAGTATTTTATGTTATAAGGAACTGCATGTGATCTATAGTGATTCTTTTGACATCAGAAAGAAAATATGAATACATGTGTGTACTCGGATGTGCTCCAATTTCGTTCCCAGGGAACGAGGTTGGATGTGCTCCTCCTCACATTCGTGGCTTCAAATCTTAAATGTCGACAAACACCCAAACAGTGTGAATATTTCCAGCTAAATATCGTGTAAAATATCGTGCGGTAACCACTTTCACACATATTTACTTGATTTTTCTTTCTGGAACTATTTCCTGATGATCTAAATATAGCTCTAGTTACCCCTATTTTCAAAGCAAACGAAAACAATGAATTTAAAATCGAATTATCGGCCCACTTGTTTTTCTATACTATTGAAAAAGCTTATGTATAAGCACAGTTAATGTGGTATAAGAGAGTAATTAAGAAGCAATTTTTTTCAATGTCACGGATTTGCAATGAAAAGTGTTCAAAACCTAAAATCTTTTTGGCGTTCCTTTAGCTTTATTCTCTAGTTTATAGAGTTAGCTACTTTTTGAAATGCATCTGCCGGTTGAGAAACATAAAATAATAGTTAAAAATTGTCAATTAAAATACAATTATCAATGATGCTAAAAAAATTGACGCCATATTTACAGCCATATGAGCAAAACTTACTGAACTTCAGACATCATTTTCTCTTTGGCGTATCATCTAAAATCTTTTCATTTCAGCATAATTTTACAGATAAAGCACTAAAAATACTTTTTAAGTTTGTTTGCCGATTGAGAAACGTATCGAAAAATAAAAATTTTGAATTTAGTCATAATCTCAAGTGATATATTGTACGCATTAGTTTTGAGCGCGTGTTAAGTGACATTGAAAAAAATCTCCTCTTAACCACATAGAAAAAATAACATATTAACGCAAAATCTGAGCCATAGTTTTAGGGAAAATAGATCAACTGAACTTGCAATCATTGAACTTGTTGACCGAAATCACCCAAGCAATCGATAAAGGAGAATACACAATAGGTATCTTCCTCGAATTGTCAAAAGCCTTTGGCTTTGATACAATTAATCACAAGATTCTGATTAGTCAGAAACTAGAGCACTATATGATATATGGGGAATAACAAGACAGTGGTTTGGAGATTACTTAAAAAACAGATTGTTAAATATAACCACTAGTTAAATCAAAAGCAATGATAATTAAAAGTGGTGTCCCACAGGGCTCAATTTTATTTCTTTTCTATCTGAATGATTTTGAAAATTGTAGCAAATTAATTTCATTTATATTATTTGCAGATGCATGACACTAATATACTACAAAAACAAAAATAATATTATAATTCCGATCTTCAAATAAAAAACAAAACATTAAAATTAACATTAATGGTAATAATATTGAACAAGTTAGAAGTACAATATTCCTTGGTATTGTCATTGATGAATGTTTGACAAGGAAAGGTCATATAGCCAAGGTAGCAAAGAAATTAATTACAGCTGCTGGTATAATAGCTATACCATCATAGCTATACGTATAATACCATCTTAATTTAATTTACAAGAATTTTGTAAAGATTATTTTGTGACGAACAACCAAATTCACCAATATATAATACAAAAAATGCATCAAAACTTCACAAATGGTATAAAAGAACAAATTATGTAGAACACACTCTCTCAAATAAAGGAGTCGACGTATGGAATCATTAGAAACAAAATTTATAGATATAAATTTCTACAGCACTTTCAAAAAGCAAATTAAACAACATTTTTTACTATACAATGTATAAGACATGCCATATATACAACATTCTGCGCTATGACACAATTAATACTATATATATATACGGTATATATATATATATATATATATATATATATATATATATATATATATATATATATATATATATATATATATATATATATATATATTATATACAATATATTATATATTATACAATATATTATATATATATTGTATATTATATACAATATATTATATATATATATATATAGTATTAATTGTATATTATATACAATATATATATATATATATATATATATATATATATATATATATATATATATATATATATATATATATATATATATATATATATATATATTGTAGTAGTGACTAGTTTAATTATTATAAAAATCCAAATCTGGCAAAAAAAAAATTTAAAAAATAAAAAAATAATCAATAATCAAATGCATCTACAACATTAGTATTCACTTCTATAATAAGAACAACTTCTGGCTTCTTTTTAGTTTCTCTTGTAAAAACATATATATTTCTTTAATATTGTGATTGACTGTAAATAATTTATTACATAATATAATACAAACTAGCATAACTAGAGACCTAAATAAAAAGTCTACGAAGATTTCTAGTAAGTCTCTAGCCCGCACTCTACAACTGATTGAAAATATACCTCACTTAAAAAACTCATTAATAATTCAGGAGAAGATTTCTAGTAAGTCTCTAGCCCGCACTCTACAACTGATTGAAAATATACCTCACTTAAAAAACTCATTAATAATTCTCTCTCTCTTCTTTTCCAAAACACAAAGAAAAATCATAAGCGTGTCGTGGTTTTATATGTGATATAAAATGATGTTAATTTACATAATTTTCACGATGTTAATTTACACTCTCTCTTCTTCTCCAAAACACAAAGAAAAATCATAAGCGTGTCGTGGTTTTATATGTGATATAAAATGATGTTAATTTACATAAACTTTAGTTTTCGATTTTCTCGGTTTAGAAAAAGTTTATTTTAAAAATTACTTCGCCAATGAATTCGTATAAGATGAGTCGTTTTTTAAGCCATTTAAAGCACTCGTAGTCGTGTTTTATCACATATAAAACACTCCGCTACGCGTCGTATTTTATATGTGATAAAACACTCCTACGCGTGCTTTAAATAGTACATAAATTTATTGTACATGGGGAAAATTTTTAAAATAAATAAATAAAATAAACTGCTGACGTCAAAACGTCATGGGCCTGCAACGCAGGCTATCAAATAGTGGAAATATTTCCAGCTAAATATCGTGTAAAATATCGTGTGGTAAATGCCGACGCGTCAAAACGCGGTCATGGAAATTGCCTTTTAACTGACGTATTTTTGCTTTCATTTCCGTGCACACCTACACCAAGAGGTCCAAATGAACTGTAAACTGGCCCGAAGAAAAATAAACATGCAATCTGCCGAAAATCTCTTTTGCCTTTGACCCAATAAAAAATGACGATGACGTGTGGTTAATGGTTACATTATACTATAAATAATTGTGATCGAGCCAAAGCTCGTTATATGCATAGACTATACAGCGCGCGCTGAACTGAAATTAATACTCCTGCTTTGCGAAAAAAACACCTCAACGTGAAATTATTGAAGTGTAGAGCTGATCCTAACATTAGTTATGAACTGTGTACACTGGATTTTGGTTTTATGCTTCGTGTACTTGATGCCGCAAATAAACGCACGAAATATTCGCACAAAAGTGGAAATTGAATGGACAGGAATTGAGGTATTCATTTTACTATACTTTATCTAATTAGCATAATGTCCGTAAAGATCACTCTTGCCACATTCATGTCATGCATCTATAGTAAGCATGAAAAAGAACCCAAAAGGAGGGTTAATTATTTTTGGTGTAGCTATAGTGGTCTGTACTAATTATAGATTCCTAAGTCTCGGTAAAATAAGGATGAGAGCTGATGACAGTGGAAAAGCAAGAGTTTGAATGAGAGTTGTCTGTGACTGGATATCAACTCTCAATAAAATTTGATACAACTCAAAGTTGACGAGAGTCATGTCATAGTCTAGCTACCAAAATAAGATGATCTGGAAAATAAACAAACGTCATTGTGTTTTGTCTGAGTTTATGTAAATTTGTCGGCACGGTGATTGAGCTCATTGTATTTTCGTATAATAAGTAATCGTCCAATAGGGATAGCTGCGATGAAACGTGCAGCCACGATGAATAATATTTAATGAAGTTGAGACAAAGAATTTGTAGGGATAACTGAGATGAAACGTGCAACCACGATGAATAATATTTAATGAAGTTGAGACAAAGAATTTGTGCATGGCCATGGTGAGGCACAGTTCAACATCAAACAAATTAACAAAAGTCTTCTATTTTGTGGCTTTGAAGTTTGCCGTGCTTCCAGACCACCATATCTTGACAGACGATCATGAGTTAATGAAGTCGATTAGATTTGACATCAAATCAGCATGTAAATATTGCTTAATAAGTCTAATAATAGTTATAATTGAGGGATGAACTAAATGTGATTTTCCATAATTTCCTCTGGGGATACAGGTATTCAACTGTTCGTCGGAGATAGATTGTCCCTCAGGTCATTGTTGTATTGAGCTTCTCAAGGTATCAGAGACCGAATTTTTGGGCGTCTGCAGAGAACATAAAAAAATCGGACAGCACTGCATAGATAAATTTTGGGTAAGTTCTTGCAGCTTGCTATGTCGGTGATTCCAGCTGTAGACTAAATTTTGATCAAGGCAAGAAAAACCAAATCCAACACTACAGCTAGAACGAGCGTCTTAGAATGAGTAGAATTGCAAAGTTTGGTTGCGAAATGTTGTAAAATGAAGAAAATATAGCCCTGTGAAGTTCGCAAATTTTGTACTGATATGTTTGTATTACACGCGGTAAAACTAACCACTTGCGGCTCAAAAATGGTTATTTTTCACACACGTAGTTCAAATATATACAAAATTTGCGAACTTCACTGCAGGGCGGTGATTTGCGAAGTTCACAGCTGTGGTAATGGATTCGTTCTTCTTGTCTAGATCAAAATTTCGTCTTTAGCTGCAGGAATCATCCGTCAATCAGTGCTACAATGTTGGATCAACTGGTTGAACCTTGGTCAGTTTTCTCAAATACAAATAGCGCTTATGATAATAAATTCCCTGTATTGAACGTATGTTGCGCTTCTTAATCCTCAACTCCCCCAATTCATAGTTTCATGCCGAGCTAGTGTCATGGTAAATGACCAAAACTGTTGTTTCGGCGTTGTTCGTGGGAGGTCATGAAGTTTGTTTTGTCAATGTATATGTAAATCAACTTTTCAATTATGAATTATAGAAGGAACAGCCTCAAGGGTTAAATCCGAGATTGTATACCCGTCGAATCGACATAACATGCTTTTAGTCACATCGCTGTTGCCCATTTTACAAATTTCGGGATAACCCACATTACCCGTCTCTACCCCTAACTCCAAATTTTCGCCTTCCTTTTCTAGCCTGGAGATAGCTGTCCATGTGCACGCGGGCTCACCTGCACAAAGGATCCATTTTCCAAAGATGAAGTTCACACTTGTGAGACAGTTGCGATACACCAGGAACCCTGGGGGATGTTTAAGGAAAAGATGTGACTCGCAAGAAAAGACATTTTGTTGCTTGCTTACGATGAATATATAATTGCACAGTTTAATTCGTGTCTTTTAATTCATATCTTGCCTATATTAGGTATAGATAAATACATCAGTATACTAATTTATAAACAATGTAAATATAGCATAGCGTTAATATTTGATAGAATCAGTTTTTAATGAAGAACTACTGAATGATGACAAGAGATAAATTTTCACATAACTCATTTTGGGCACGGAAGAATTACCATAACTGAGTAAAAACATAATGGTTAAAATTGTTGTGACTCCAACTGTCAAACGGTTGCCTGTGTCTCGCTTGTTCATCCAGAAAGTTATCCAGCTCAGCATCACTAGGATAGTGCATGCCCGCCGATGGGACTGATACACCTGCAGGAGGTAGTAGCCCACACAACGCTTGAATTCAAACGTGGCTGTTAAAACAGTGAAATTGCCTAAAAAGAGTGATTAAATTAGTGGCTGTCTGTGTTGGGTTTGATCACTTTGCAATGTGTATTTTTAGTAAGTTATTAAATAATTTTGCCTCAATCCCGTATAGAAACGAATTGCGCGCTGAAACACACTTTTATACAGAACTGATAGATAAAGTTAAAAATTATTATGTACTATTTAAAACACGAGCATGAACTTTTAATAACAGATATAAAACACGAGACAACAATCATTGAACAATATTGTTACCAATTCAGGCTCAACAATGTTGTTCAATATTGTTGATAAGTGTGAACATAGAACAATATGGGCAGCACAACCATAGAGGCACAACATTGTTCAATCCTGTTAAACAGCGGGCTCATAATTTTTACGCGTGTAGTATCCGTTACTTTCGATACCTGTCGGTCCGCGGAAAACATTTTTCATTACTGTATGTTGACCTAAATAAAGCTGTAACTATAAGTAAACCAAAAGCACAAAACAAAATAAATATTTTCTTTATATGACTTGGCGCACCATATTTTGAAAATTAAGAGTTAGTTTAGTGATTTATGAATCTCTTATTCAACCAAGAAGTGAAGTTAAACAGATTGTCTAAAAAAGGGGTGCACAAGTATCGACCGATATCACGTCAGTAATCGATACCATTGTAATCGATACCGCTGTTTGTGGCATCGCTGGTATCGAATACCGGTATCGCCCATCACTACAGGTAGCATCGGGTTCTTGGAAAGTGTTTATATTTTACTAAGAAATCGACTTCAACGAATTCTTCACTGGCACTTAATTGGGTCCTCTACAGTATTTTGGATAAAAGTGGTCTTGTAACGGTTTTCCTTCACCATGGAATTTCTTCAAACACGACTAATGCTTTCTCATTTGGGGAATATAAAAGCCAGCAATTTGACCTGTGTCGCAGAAGATTGCCATGAGATGATGTCGAAATACAATTGTTCATGTGTGAGGCCTCTTCCCAATGTCACTTGTGATGAAACCCCAGATGAAACCTCAGTCTCAGATCTCAGTATCCCCATTGTGTTGTGGTCAATTTCTGCATTCATTTTGTTGCTATTAATCCTTGAATTATTTGCAATTCGGTAAGTCTCAATTTGTGTCATGCTGAAGTAACGTTTACACGCTGTGATCTGTCGGGCCGATTTTAGTCACGATTAATCGTAGCGTGTAAATAACCATCCGATTTTATCGCGAGCTCTGGCATCAGCATATCCCAACTCGCAAAATCGTGAACAAATTCTGTAGCATTGCTACAGATTTTTCACGACTTTTACGATTTTTCAAGTTGCTATGTAGCCTATGTTTTCAAGTTGCTACGTATACCAGTATGACAGGTACTTCGGACACGCATAAATAACTTTACTGAGGCGTAGCTAAAATATTCTGGCAGCGATTGTAAAATGTCGGGCCAGTTTTTAATCAAAATATCACCAATGAGATGCAAATTGTTGAAAATCTTTCGCAGAAAAGTGTGAATTTCTCAATTTTCTGCTAAAGCTGCGCCAAAACCTGCACCAATGGGCAGTAGCAGAAAGTTGTCGCGAAAAAATATGCGGTTTTTGGGCATTTCCGAAATTTTCACCGAATTTTCGAATCCTTTCAAATCATAATTTCAAATATATTAATATAATGCTCAATTGCTCAGTTCACCAAATTTTTGCCAAATTGATCTTTGGGATTATTCTGCGCCAAACCAATATTTGTGATCAATCTGCGACAAAAACGTGCGCGAAAATTTGTTCTGCGCTTTTTAAAGATCTTTCGGAAATACGGCCTCGGCCGCCTCAAATTCACCCCCGCCGCTTGTGCAAAGGCACATTTGTTATACTTAAAAGTTGCTCATCCGTCGCATAAACTCAAAATTTAATAACAGAACAGCAAATATTTTGGATGAGAAAGGTCGGATTGTTATAAACAAACATAAGAACTCACTTTTGATAATTCAGTTCCTGAAGTACATTAGTACACCACATCAGTTTACTCACATCCGTGTGAGAGTGGATGTGAGTGTTTATTTTATCAAATTAGATAATTGCATTGATACACACTACCTGCAAATAGCATTTGCTAATCAAGGCAGATAGCGGAAAAATGATTTAGCTTACAATTCACTCATAGATTCGATTCATTAATAGTAAGAAAAGCAATAATAGAAACATTAGAATACAGACTACAATTTATATACTTTCAACTGCATGTAGCGGCTTACCATTGTGCATCCCATGGAAAATTCACATTTCACTGACCAGAAACTAGCTGGTCTACCCTTGATTCTAAATGTCCTAACTGTCAATTCCTAGGTTTAAATTTTCATTCCTGGACAATTTTTTTGGAAAGCTGGTATTTTCAATGGGCATTATTAGCAGTGTGGTGACACAGTTCTGTACCATGCAATACCTACAAGACAACAGTGATTTTATTACCATCTGGTACAACGTAGTCCTGGGTGCCGTTTCATTTTTCTTTATCACATTTGGCTACCACTTTCTGTTTGTGAAATCTCCAAATAACAACATTGGCTCGCACGACAGAGGGATGGGACTTGTTGTTGTCTTCATTACCATACTGGTTGTTGGTCTTGAAATTGTACTAATCGTCATGGTATTCAAGCGTGAAAACCTCAGCCCCGGTGTTGCTATATATCTACCTGTTTTTGCATGCGAAAAGATCGTTCAAGTTGTACTATATATTGCCATCCGTAGATGCAAGCCTGATCCCAGCTACAGAAGAGGAACAGTGTTCTATTTTAACTTTTTATCATTTTTAAACTTTACCCTCTGGTTACACAGCATTCCGTTTACAGATATACCCATATACGACGAAGTGTCACATAATTATATTCTACAATATGTCGACCAAACATTTAAGGCGTTACTTATCGATTACAGACTGTTGTGTGCTTTCCTGTTTTTAGAGCATGCATTAGCAATTGATGACGACGGACATGAACATGTTAACAATGAAGTCGACAGTGGATTTCAAATGCCAAAGAAACGTTACTTTTACACAGCTATTGGTCTCAGCATTGGGCTATTCTTTTTGGTACTGGAAATCATAAATGCTGCTCAATTCTGGCACAAAAGTCTTCCAAACGTTGTTAATCTTTTCCCAATTCTAGTTGATATAGGTCTTGTTGTTTTGGGATACTTGTTACTACGAAATGTTAATATTTCTGTTTTACATGATAAAAAAGTCAGTCTTATCTTGCTTATGGTTACATCAATGGGTGTTGCAAGTATTGTATACTTGTTTTGCTTTGGTTTATTGGCGTTTTCTTCATTTAAATATGATCACTCTGTTTCGTATATGAGATGGTCGGCATGTGTGTTTTTTGCAAGGGCATTTAGCTTGCTGGTCTTGTTGGTTGTTTATACAGGAATCCCTGTAAGTACTTTTGAATTGCGACAGAACTTTAATACCAAAAACTATCTTTTTGTCTCTGCTCTTTGTTGCGGGCTGTTTGCAAGATTTATTGGGAGTATCCTTGATGAATTTAAAGGTACAATGCATGAAGTAGCAGTGGAACATCTTGATTCAAAGAACTTTCGGACTCTGCGAGATTTGTTTGAAATCGGGCCATTATTCCAGCTTGCGACCTCTTTGCATTTGGCACTTCATTTCCTGCTAATGCTTTGGCGCCTTCGTGAGCGACCTAACAAACAAGCTCGTATAGATGGGCATGGTGAACCTATTAGAGGTGATTATGTTGAACCTATTAGAGGTAATTATGGTACACTGTCAGTAAATGGTGTTGCCAGGCAACCGGATGTTGATGTACATTTTAGATCGTCTGGTGTACAACAATTTGAACATGATGATGATGAACGTACAAGATTGTTACCGCCATATCAACGATGTTAATTCTGTGAACTGTGTTTATGACTTAAGATGTTGCAAACATTGTTTTAAATACAGCATCACGAAGGCAAGAGACGTACTGGTTTCTGACTATCTGTTGACTTTTGTGTCTGTTGATTTACGTATGTATACAGTATATAATATACCGACGACGCTATCTCTAATCCATAGTCTAAGAGCTGTTCATACGAGGAGGGCCAGCCCGACAAGCCGGGATGAATCTTGTCACGAAAGTTTTCCTGACCAAAAACAGGTTTGAATGAACTTTATATTGTTACTGAAATCAAACCAAACAAATTCAACTTTGAAATGTCATTCTGGATGTTTATCAAAATACAAATCATCCTGGTTATCCAGAGCAGCCCGGCTTCATACCAACAGCCCCTAAAGCCGGTTTTCCATTCCGCTCCGCGCGCAAAATTCCGCTTAATGGAAAACCGGATAATTAACGGGCTAGCTCGAAGTATTCGGGGAGTGTAGCTAGCTATCATTTAATTTAAACCTGGAGTAAATGGTTATCAACTCCAAAAATAGTCTAAAAATAAGACTAAAATAGCTGTTGAGCCAAATTCAAAAGCTACAATCGGGGCAGGATTTCCCTGAGTAATTATACATCAGTTGGAGTTTGGTTTCAATATCCATTCTCGTCCCCAGGCTACTAGTTTTGGTTCGCAACAGATATGCTTCTATTCTTAAGCAAGGAACATATAGTATGTCCATGTAATGCTTACAAGAGGAAAAATGAACTGAACATTTTTTATAGTTATAGATAAATAGTCTTTTGAGCATAATTATTCAGCATTATTTGTAGTATTTTTTATTGTACTAGATAATATAAATCTTTTTAATTAATGACAAATGTATAACGTAATTCAGCTTGCTTTTGCAGCTGCAAAGTTTCTTTAATAAAGCATGCAGTAGATTAGATATGATGTCTTTAAATATGTTTTGTAAATCAACCAATTGAACTGAAAAACGTGCTTGTTAAACAATCAATGTAGAAGACATAATGTCCGTAGCATAATGTCCGTAAAGACCACTCTTACCACATTCATGTCATGCATATATTATAAGCATAAAAAAGAACCCAAAAGGATTAATTGCTTTTGGTGTAGCTACTAAATATAGATTCCTAAGTCTCGGTAAAATAAGGATGAGAGCTGATGACAGTAGAAAAGCGAGAGTTTGAATGAAAGTTGATGAGAGTTGCCAGTGACTGGATATTAACTGGTTAAGAGAACGAAAACTCTCGTCAAGTTGTCAACTCTCGATAAAATTTGATACAGCTCAAAATTGATGAGAGTCATGTCATAGTCTAGCTACCAAAATAAGATGATCTGGAAGCTAAACAAACGTCATTGTGTTTTGTCTGAGTTTATCGGTTAATTTGTGCACGGTGATTGAGCTCATTGTATTTTCGCCGGTAGTAATCGTCCAATAGGGATAGCTCAGCCTAGACCTAGGCCTTCTAGTCTTATTTATATTTTTTAATATTCAGCGCTTTTTCACATGAAAAGACTGGGACTAGGTGATTTGGGGGCGGGGCGGAGGAAGCAAGCCTAGAAGGCCTAGTTGATTTCCCAACAACAAGGCCAAAACTGCCCTGAAACTGCCCTGGTTGCGAAATGCCCAATTATTGCGTTCTCAAACAGAATTATTTGCAACTTAACGGCGAATTTAAACCGATACAGGTAAAATAATTAACAAATATAAAACATTTTCCGTGTTGATATACAGTTATATCAACACGAGTGGAAATTGGGAAAACGAGAAATTGTGTGGAAACACGACGCCCGAAGGGCGGAGTGTTTTCACACAATTTCGAG